GACGAGGGAGAGGATTAGCACTTTGAGATTTAGTTGTACTATCACTTATGACATGAACTACACACACATGCCAGTCACTGAAGATGCTGCCAAGCTTGGTTGGCTGCTAGGTGACATGAATTGAAAAGATGTTTATTGGTTTGTTTCTTTTTAAGAAGGGTGCACATCTTTGGTATATATAAACATCTTTTGTATTTCTCTGCTACACTCTGTGCGTCTAGATACATATTAAGTTCTATTTACAAGGATATTATCTTGTCATCTAGATGTTTATCAGTTATAGAAACACACACACACACATATATATATATATATATATAATATATAATACATGACTTTCCCTTTCACTATATTTTAGAAAAAAATCTCCAGTTAAGAATATACTTCAAAATTTTGTCATGGTTTCAAGTTCTTGATTTGGTTATGTTCATCAGATTTTGGCTAGACAACAAGCTCAGAGAGAAGAGGAACTTGCTCAAACACAGAGGCATATTCTTGCGCTTCAAGTATGTGAATAGTAAAAAACTACTTGGTCCTATCTCTATACTATTAAGAACCCATGAATATTATGCTGTTTGATGTTCTTGTCATTGTTCTGACAAGTTTCATTATGTAAATCTTTTACCATTAAGTGGAGACATGCAGATCAAGTTAACAACAGCCTACTTCTTATCAAGGAACATAACAAAGGTTAACTAAGAAACATGTGAAAATGCCATTTCCAAAATAAAGCTCACAGTGATCTACTGTATACTGACGGAGCTGCACCACAATCCTTTTTGAATATTCTGTTCCCCTCATCCTCAGACGTCTCTTCAACAAGACTAGCAAGGATACTGAAAAAAGCTCCCTTTTAGGGATTAGGGAAAAATATCCATGCTGAGATAGCCACTTTTTGTATAGTTATTGGCTGTAATCGTGAATGGTAGGTTCCAGCAATCACATTGATGTATCATTAGATGATGAAAATTAGTTCCCGTGGTGGATGCTAAAATTAAGGAAAAAAACAAAGTTGTTAATGAGCAAAGGAGTAACAACTTGAGAGGACATACCTTGCCCTAGCAAGCATTCTTGACAATCGTGGACATGGTGTCAAGTAATCAGATCTATTAGAATTACAAGATACTAAATACAGTAAGGACTGGGATTCAGATTTGGAATTGTGAGACCACACCTGGGTAATTAAGTTCCCCAAGTAGATTAACTGACCGATTCATTTACTTGTAATACTTGAAACTATATATGGAATTGTGTAGCTGAGAGCATGTAAATGACAGGATGTGACAATTTAATTGAAGATTTTAGACGCCACATATCTTCAGAAGGCCTTCTTTTAAGTGAAAGATTTATGAAGGTTGCTTATTTAAAGTTTCTTTCTTTCCTCAGGCATTTTGATGCCTGCATCTTGATGTATACTTAAGTTGCTGTATTATCCTATGACTGCCATCTTTGTGGATGATGCTTCTGATGCTGTAAATGTAGGAAGAAATTGAGGAGCTGGAACATGAAAATCGCCTCCATAGGCAGCAGGTACTACAGAGTTTTAGTTTCATACAATTTGAGTTGCTCATCCTGTAAATTATCTCTCTTTTTTTTTTTTTTCTTTCATATTCCTTTTTGTGAAATCATATTGAACATTCTTCACATAAATGTAGAGGTGACGCCAAAGTCACGGGAATCTGGCATGAGCTGTTCCTATGAACACTTCCAGAATGGAACCAATGAATGATACACATTTACCACTTAAGGTTTTTTTAAAGTTTCGACCATGATGTGTATTTTATTGGCATTAGAAGGTTTTGAGGCTGCATAATATAGGGACCAGATAGTGTAACATACTCAAACTTAAATTCAATCTTGTCTATACTCAAACATCAAGATATATTATTATATTGTTTTGTGTGACATGCCAAATATCAGCTGTACAAAATTCCCCCTTTCTATGCTTTTGCATTTATTTATTTGTTTATTTATGATAAGAAGTAAATGATTTTCTTTGTGTTTTAGAATAAGAGAAAGCTACACTATTTCCTACATGACATATTAAAACTTAAAAAGGAACCAAGAGATTGAAATCAAATATCCCCTAAGTTATCCTGAAAAGAAGCTAAAAATATTCACATTTTATTTCTTTGTTTAGTTGTAAGAATGCAAGGTCTACAAATAATTTGGTTTCTAGTTTTTTGTTTTTTTTTCCTCTGAGACTGTCATGGAACAGTTCTGTCTTATTCAAATTGTGCTTCTTCCTACGTTGATGGAACAAAAACTTCTGTAGCAATATGTGTAATGGCAGCCTCCCACTTTTGAGTTTCAGATATTATACTGGTTCAAATTCACTTTTTATCCTTCACCCAACATTTTAGACTGAAAATATGTGCCTTAAAGTTCATGAACTGACTTACTATCCTGGCAATTAATGGAACGCCATCATCTCTTTCATAATATCACATGTCTACTACATTATGGATGTGACGAATTAGTTACGACATAAAATTGTTTCATAATGTCTTAGATTTTGTACTGCACTAGCCACTAATAATAGTATTGCAGGAAACCATGTTGAAGGAAGAACTTCGGAACATGGAAAGAGTGCAAAAGAGGGATGGAGTGGACCTGACATATCTTAAAAACGTCATTTTGAAGCTTCTAGAGACAGGTACTTATCTTTGTATTTAGCGTGATCTATCTTTGTATTGAATGTGATCTTCCTTATCTGTACCTTTCATAAATGCTTGATTTAAGCAATAATTTACCTTATTTTCTCTGCTTACAAAGTGACATCTAAATCAGGGTAGTGAAGGACTAATGATATGCACAAATAGAATGAAATAGTAACTATCATGGTTGAGTTTGTGTTGTAACTAGTAGATTTCTCATCAAATGTAATCGCAAGTTGCAGAACTACAAATGTAAAAATAATAATCACCTCAGTTGCAAGTTCTTGCTCTAAAGTTCCCTTAGAAAGAAATTATGTAAAAGCGTTTTGTTTTAGTTAAAATAGAAAAATTGAAGTAAAAAGAAAATAATGCATTTAGATTTTTAAGTTTTATTCAAGTGTTGTTTAAATTTATTGCATTCGTAAATGCAACCCTAGTGCAAAAACATCAAATTTAACAAGAATTACAGTGCTGAAGTTGACTTGTTTTGTTTAACTTTTCATATGCTCTTCACCGTTTTCCTACTTCAATTTGTCGTGACTTTCTTTCTAATTTCATTTTGTTAGTCCCTGCTCGTTCACTGTTTTCGTTCACTATTCAGGTAAGCTAAAATGCTTCCGGCACAAACGGACACTTTTAGGATGAAAGAAGAATATTGTGAACAACTCAATGTATTGAATATTCAGTTTTTCTATATATAAGAACTAAAAACAACTACCCTAGTGGCTTCCTAGAAATTACTTAAGCTGAAAAGCCCTAAAATGGCTGCCATGACAGTGCTCTGCAGCTGCAAGGAAGTTGCAGTGCAGTAACAAGGAAACTGCATGGATTATATCTTACAATTCTTCTCCTAATCCTGCTGTTCTTGCTTGTTTNNNNTCCAATCTTGGTCCTTAGCTCCATGAACCGAAGACGGCCGAGTGGCTTGGTAAGGATGTCTGCGAGCTGCCGTCCGGATTCGACAAACTCTAAAACAATCTGTCCTTCATTTACACAATCACGGATGAAGTGAAAACGAGTATCGATGTGCTTGCTTCGGTCATGGAGGACTGGATTTTTTGCAAGGGCAATGGCGGACTGGTTGTCCACCATCAGAGCTGGTGGACGAGCTTCCTCACCGGTCAGTTCGCCCAGCAACTGATGCAGCCAGACCGCCTGGCACGCCGCTGTGGCTGCCGCCACGTACTCCGCCTCGCACGTAGACAACGCCACGATCTTCTGTTTCAGCGACTGCCATGAGATTGGGCCGATCCAAGGAAGACGAGCACACCGGAGGTGCTCTTCCGCCCATCAATGTCGCCTGCCATGTCTGCATCGCTGAAAACCGTGAGCTACAGCTCACTTCCGCCGCCTGTCTTGGGAAAAATGATGCCTTGGTCCACCGTCCCATTGACGTAGCGCAACAGTCGTTTTACTGCAACCCAATGATCCTCTCAGGGGTCCTCCATGAAGCGGCTGACATAGCCCACGGCGAATGCGATATCTGGCCTCGTGTGGACTAGGTAGCGCAACTTGCCGACGATACTCCGGTCGTGTGTTGCATCCACTTTCCCTGCGGTGCTGGCTTTCGTCAGCTTCAGCCGCTCTTCCATCGGATTCGCGCATGACTTGCATTCAGCCATGCCGCTCCGCTCCAACAGCTTCCACGCATATGCACGCTGGCAGAGAGTTATGGAGTCTCTCCACTGCTTCACCTTGATGACGAGGTAGTAGGAGAGTTGCCCGAGATCGCTCATGCGGAAACGAGCTGCCATCTCGCGCTTGAAGCTGTTGATGTCCCCTTCTTGTGCCTCGGTGATGATCAAGTATTCCTCATACACGCCGACGGCGAGCTCCTCCTTCCCCCGTCGTCGTGTGTAGAGCGCGTGTTCTGTCGCGCAGAGCGTGAACCCAAGCGTACCCAGGGTGGCATCGAGCTTGGCGTTCCACGCTCGTGGGGTTTGGGCTTGTCGCAGCCCATAGGGTGCCTTCCGCAGCCGCAACACCTTTGTGCTCCTCTCCCTTGACAGCGAAGCCTGGGGCTTGCTTGACGAATACAGTCTCCGCTATCTCGCCGTTGAGGAAGGCCGATTTCACGTCCAGGTGATGAATGCGCCAGTCCTTTGCTACTGCCATGGCCAGCAGTAGGCGAATGGACTCCGTGCGCGCCACTGGTGCAAAAACTTCCTCAAAGTCGATGCCCTCACGCTGGACGAAACTGCGAGCAACGAGGCGCGCCTTGTGCTTGACTATGGCGCTACACTCGTCCCGCTTGGCCTTGTAGACCCGTTTGAGCCCGATTGGATGACAGCCTGAAGGTGGATCGACGAGATCCCACGTCTTCATCGATCGCCTTCATCTCCTCTAGCATAGCTCGTCTCCAACTGACATCGCGCTCGGCCTGCGCAAAAATGGCTCCTCTGCGCTGACGAAGAGCAGCTCCTGATCGTCGAGTAATCGGCTTGCCAAGCCTGGTACAGCCGAGTTGCCAACGAGGTTATCCACCCTGCGAAACCTCACCTCCTCACCGTCGTGGAAAGCATCCACATACTCGTCGATGTCGCTTGGAGGAGAGGTGAACTCAACTGTTGTCGCTGGAGGTGTTCCGTGTCCTGCCGCAGCAGGGGACTTTGGTGGGGGCGTGTGCGCAGCCGCTGGTGGAGACTCTTCGCCCGTGCCGCCATGGCCGGACTTTGCGGCTCAACCGACGTCGCCACAGCTGCTGGACTTGGCGCGTCCGCAGCTGGCTCCTCTGCTCCCGCATCTCCTCCTCCGTGGATCACCAAATGCTCGATGACGAACGTACCGCTGATGCCACGGGCTTCCCTCGTGCCAGGATTTTCCCAACCCCAGGCCGCCATTTCGTCGAACACCACATCCCGCGAGACCACCACCTTGCCTCCACGCGGATCGTAGAGCCGATAGCCCTTGCTCTCCTCCTCGTAGCCTAGGAACACCATCGGTGTGTTCCTATCCTCAAGCTTGGACAGGAAGGGCTTCGGCTTTTTCACATGACCAATGCACCCAAATGTCCTTGGAAACGAGACGTCGGGCTGCCTACTATGCCAAGCTTCGAATGGTGTCATGCCTTCAGGGCCTTCGTCGGCGCACGGTTGAGGATGAATATCTTCGTTCTCACAGCCTCTCCCCAGAACTCTGCTAGCATGCCCTTTGCCTTCATCATACTTTGTGCCATGCCCACTACGGTCTGATTCCGCCGCTCTACTATGCCGTTCTGTTGCGGTGAGTACGGCGCAGTGTGATGGCGCACCACCCCTGGTTTGCACAATACCCGGCGAATTCCACCGATGTGAACTCGCCACCGCGATCCGTCCTCAGCACGCGCAGTCACTTCCCGGACTCTGCCTCAGCCCGCGCCTGGAACCGCTTGATTGCCTCCGCCGCCCGATCCTTACTCGTCAGGAGCTGCAGCCACATGAAACGGCTACAGTCGTCCACGAGCAGCAGGAAGTAGCGTCGTCCGCCATGCATAGCCGGCGTGATCGGCCCGCAGAGGTCGCCGTGGACGAGCTCGAGGACGTTCGCCGCACGATACTTGGTCGCCTTTGGGAAAGGCAGCCGCCTCTGCTTCCCTGTCAGGCAGCTGTTGAACAGATCGCCTGCATGCTCGATGTGCGGGAGCCCGCGCACCATCTTCCTCAGCCGACCGAGTACGTCGAAGCTCAAATGGCCGAACCGAACATGCCATAGCCATGGCTCCTCGATGTGTCGTACAGCCAAGCACACCGGCTGCTCCACTTTCAAGTCGAGGAGGTAGAGGCGATTCTGGGAGCGCTGGACCATGGCTTTGTTCTCGATCGGACACGCGTTGTCGCCATCCTTCTTCTTCTTCTGCGGGGCCTTGCCACGGCGCTTGTCGTAGCCGCCACGGCTGGAGGAGCTTTCCCCGGGCCGCCGCTCGCGCATACGAGCCGCTCATTCTTCCTCGGTCAGCAGTAACTTGTCGCTGGTAGTTATCGTCGCCGTCTCCACGCGGTCATCCACCGCCCGCAAGCGTCCAGTCACATCCTCAATCGTGAGGTTGGACAAGTCGATCAACGTCTTGGTGGAGAGCGTGATCTAGGCGTACTTAGGCGGCACGACGCGCAAGTATTTCGCGACCGCCTCCTCGTCGGTGACGGTGACGCCGTGCGCCGCCAGCTGACTGACGAGAGACTGCAGATGGAGCGAGAAATCTTCTGCTGCCTCGCCGTCGCGGAACGCCAACGCCTCATACTCCCGCCACAGCTGCTGCGCCTTCGCCTTCTTTGCGCGATCAGACCCGATGCGCATGGCCTTGAGGGCGTCCCAAGCAGCCTTTGCGGAGTTCTTTGCGCCCAACGACTCCACGTACTCGTGAGGCACAACGGACAGAATCGCTTCCATTGCTGTGCAGTCTTCTTCTTCATTCGCGGTGCCTTCTTCGATGGCCCGCCAAAGCTTGCGCGCACGCAACTTGACCTTCATCAGCACCGCCCATTCGCCGTAGTTTGTGCGTGTGAGGACCGGCCAGTTGGCCCCGCCAACGTCCCGCACGGTCCTGTGGATGATGACCTCCTGGTGCGGTGAACCGTCTGCTCCGCTCCCTTGCACCATCGACGCAGCATCTTGGCTTGCCATGACTCTGATGCCACTTGTTAGTCCCTGCTCGTTCACTGTCATGTAAGCTAAACTGCTTCCGGCACAAACGGACACTTTTAGGATGAAAGAAGAATATTGTGAACAACTCAATGTATTGAGTATTCAGTTTTTCTATATATAAGAACTAAAAACAACTAGCTTTCCTAGAAATTACTTGAGCTGAAAAGTACTAAAATGGCTGCCGTGAAAGTGCTCTGCAGCTGCAAGGAAGTTGCAGTGCAGTAACAAGGAAACTGCATGGATTATATCTTACACATTTTCTTCAGTGGGATTTTATAGCAGAATGAAACTTGAATGTCCAAGATAGTTGGGGAAATTCCATCAAAATCCCATTGAATAAAAATATTACATAGTAATCTGTGACAAATGATAAAAATTTGGAAATTTCCACTAATTTATATATTGGTGATCAACTTGTTGCACAGCTCCATTCACGGTTAACCTACTACTCCCTTCTGTCCCCTCTATCCCCAGTCATGGTTACTGACTAAACATGTAAACCAAGCACCATGTTTGACAAAAACATATATTCTTATTGTTCACAAACACACAACCAGTACGTACACTCTTGCATCCCCTTCTTTCTCCGAGGTTGATCTTCTCTTGGTGTTTCTAGTTTTGGTTTCTGTCTTTGTTTTGTGTGATCTGCAGAAATGAATGATAATTATTTCCTAAATTTTGGGATAAATTTCCAGTTTCCACTACTAGGTCTATGTGGCGTACTTGTGCTGTTGTGTTGAGAGACAGTACACGTTGGATGTGAGGGCACAAGTAGTGATGGTGGTTGGTTTTATACATGTAGATGTATGCATATTTATTCTTCAATATACTTTCCATGATAGATGCCTTATTTCATGCGATCTCTATCATTTAATTCTAGAGAATTAGTTGGCAAATTTGAACGATAAGGTAACTGACAACAACTAGAAAATTGCAAGATAATAATGTATATATGTATTTATATATAAGAAAATGTATTATATAGTCCAAATTTGAGTTCCATATTAAAAGTCAAATAAGTAAATATTCATAATTTACGGGTCTATATTAACTTGGACATAAATAAAATAGTCAATTATTTATAGTTTAATAAATTTCTCAACTATTTAATTTTTTTTATTTGGATAGTTTATACAAAAATTAACCCATATTAATTAATAAAACAATATAAGTTTTATAATTGTACTTATTATTCACATAGATTTTAAAATATATTATAAAATTTTACCAAAATATTTATTTTATGGAATCACATTGTATTCAAATCAAATTTTATAATAAAACTTTTAAAATGAAACTTATTTTAAAATGAATATAATGTACTTTATTTTCAGTTACGTGCACCGTACAGGTTGTATACTAATTTTAGATAGACATGTCTTATGTAATCTTGAACTAATTAAATTTCATATAACATTTTTAATAAATTAATATGGTAAATTTTATTACAATTTGATTCCCAATTTTCTTTTTCAAATTGTTAAATGAGTATTAATAATTTATAAATATTAACGTTATCTTTTACCCATAGATAAATTGTATTACATATCCATTCAATGATTTTAATATATAAATATTATTTAACGAGCATTTTTAATATATTAATACTGATGATTATCTCACACCCGTGCATCGCACATGATTTGTACTAGTGTATATATATATTTTATATATATGCATACGCACGGGATTTGTACTAGTATATATATATATATATATGCGTACGTGTGTGCATGCTCGCGTGTGATTGCAAGCTTGTGTACGTATATCTCATAGAACTCAACAATCCAGGTTGAAATGGATCGCAAGATAATGAAAGAAAAAAAATGAATAATTGATTTTGAGTAAAACTGAGAACAGTGAAGAGGTTGGATTCATTATTTGATGCTTACTATCTTCATTGCTATTAATTTCCACTTTTTGTACCTTTTTAAAGTAAATGCAGTGTTTTATTGATATATGCTGCTTGTTTTCATTTATTTATTTGAACACCGCAACTTATTAGGTGAAGTGGAGAGACTGCTTCCAGTTGTAGCAATGCTTCTTCAGTTTAGCCCAGACGAGGTAACTTGTTTTTCTTCGCTTCCTGATTGAGTTGTTGTACTTATGTGGAAAAGATCTTAGGTTGTGTTCTACTAGTTTAATTGTCACGTAACATCAGGTAAGCATCCATAGTGTACTGCCTTGTGTTTATTGACTGTGGAGGTGTCTTGAATTAGTGACCTCATTGTATACAACTTATAATTCATGCTGTAAAATGCAGGTGTAAACTATTTATGGAAGTCTGATGCATATATTACTTAATAAATAGGTTACCAAAGTACAGAGGTGTAAATTTAAGATGAATAAACTGGGGGTAATCCACAAATTTGTTTTGAGGCAATGAAAGTAATAAAAAATCCAATTGAGTTGTTTCAATTGGAATTTGAAGTATAAAGTTATCTGGTTATGAATTTTTTCATAGCTTGTACTGAAGTTCTTGATTAATACTAACAAGTCCATGAATATTCTCTCCTTTGTCTGCACCTTTGTGCTCTGCCTGTGCTTCTTTTTTAGCTCCTTTCTAACTAATAATTATCCACATACAGAGACTTGCATTTGAATTTTCTTGAGTTTATTCCTGCGAAACCGTACATAGTGTGGTATGTTTTGACCCGTGAATGCTTTCATGCTTCTGTCTCTTCATATGTTTATCTATTATGAATTTTCAGTTAACTGGCAAAAACTAAACTTTCAATAATTAATTTCTCTTGTTCTCCAAAGCCACAACCTGCATTTGTCACTAATGTTGGAGTCGACTAACATGTGGTAACCATGGATGAGTAATTTTTAACAGATATGCTGTATATATGCAGATGCAGAAGTGCCAACAAGCTTACCGCTCTTCAAACGAGGTCCCACCTAACCCTTCCAGTGACTCTTTCGGTACTGGGCGCTCGCTGTTTTCCAGATTTTCTTTTTCATAGAATGATTCGGAATACCTGTCAACATGAAATCATGCAAGGGACGGGCTTAAGCATTCGGGGTAAATTTTATGTTTTTAACATTAAGGATAATGGTCGATTTCCAGTATTTTAAATACCGTACGAGATGCATAGGATGATGGAAATTATACATCTGATACAGAAGAAGAGACCATGTCTGAACAAGATGAAGACAGTTGGCCAAATGATTGGACACAAAACATTAACTGTTTGTGTGTTGGTTAGTTTGGCTTGTTTTTACGTGTGCATTCTCACACCTAATGGACTGTATAGTTGTATTGTTTAACAATTGAGTTAATAAGTGCTGGTCATTGTTCCGGCAATCTCTTGCTTCACTTGTGATCTATCCTGTCTTTTACATTTAAATGTTAATTCTTTTCGGAACAGATACTTGCTTATAGTATGTGTTGTCTTTTTGTGGACTGAAGTAGCTATTTGGAATCCCTCCAAGCCGATAAAGCACTTAATCTCTAAATACTAAAATTTACGAGAACAGAGCGGATTGAACTCTTTAGTGACGGAAGAACAAAAAACTGAATTGTTGAATGTCTGAACTATGAAAATATAAAACAACTCTCACAAACTCTCACAACTGCATCTTGAACAATGAACTCATTACTAATTGTAATTGCAGCAGCTTTTCTCTCTGAATCTTGTGATGAGATATATACAATCTTCAAGTAGTTAAGACGTCTTCATCTTTCATTTTCTTCAACGTCCTTCCATTTGGAGTTAATTTCCTTCTAGATTAGATCCTCTCTTATTTGTTTGAAGCTTCATTCGATAGTTCGATAATTGTGCAGGAACAATGTTTCCTAGTTTATTGACTTCTGAATCATGGCCAAGATCTTCATCAATCTTCACGGCTTGATTCCGCTATTCTACTTATGATGATGTCATAGTTCTTCATGTAATTGGTCAACTCATCCTTCTTTAAATAAACCATGCTTCCTTTATCTGCAAGAATAAGGAAACTCATTAATGCTTCTTTAAGTAAACCATGCTTCCTTTATCTACAAGAATAGGGAAACTCATTATAGAAACTCATTAATGCATGTGAGTGATGTATAGTGAGAGAATATAAGTAAGATATTACTAATACTTACTAAAATGAATAAATCTAATATATATTAATTAATAATAATGTATGAGAACTAATTAATTACAAGAAAGAGAATATAATAACTTTCCTTTTTAATTTGTTTTGCTTGCCTAGAAAAAAAAAACATCAAGAATGTTAAGTTTGTCGAACACTTGGGAAACTAATATTTTACAAATTCGTAACCAGTATCTTGAAGATGACCTTGCAAAATAGATTCAAAGTAGCAAAGCAAAATATCCATGTTCGAACACAAGGGAACAAACTATCCTTAAACTTGCAATGTTTCAGAACAAGTTCCCAAAATATAAGAAGGATCGAAGATGAATCCAAAATACTAGACTAACATAATACAACTTAAGTATCAGAACACCCTAAATCGAAATAGCAAGAATGAATAATCGAAGCAATAAACTTAGCAACAACATAGTTCTAACAGCCTGCATCATACAATTAGAAAGTAAAACAGAAATTGTTCAAACATCATCCCCTGCAAGCAGAAAAAGAAATCGAACAAACCAACCAAATATTCAAATCACTTGAATAATATTCAATTCCACTAAATGGATATTATTGCACTGCCAATTTAAATGCAAATTATAAATAATTATTTCTCGATTTATTTGTTGGATTTACCTCACCACATTAATGATCTAACGTTTGTTGATTAGTCTAATTACTGATAATACAATTAATCAACTTCTTGATACGAAATTAGTATCACTCACTCTTTTGTTATTATGTCAAAATTCAATCTGCCTACCGGTGTAGCGCCTCGTTCTTTTAATGAAAGAATAGCTCGACCTTATATATTTAATATTGAGTAATATTATTTATCTTAGAATTTAATCCTAAACCATGAAAAATTATTTAACATTTATCTTATAATTATTAAGATAATTAAACTAATTAATCTAGTTAATCTAATTAAATCTAATTACTCTACTCATTTGAGTAAATATCCTAATCTGATAATACCTAAATTATTTAGGCTAATTGAAAAAATCCTCCCTATATATAATTCCCGAATGCGCTGAGCCTGCATGGCTGTTTCTGGTACTATGAAATCCTACTTGGCGAAGAATCATGCTTCGTAATTAGGTTTGGACAAATAATATTGTATATTAATAATTAATAATCTAGGTTCAGAAATTCCATAAATATTAATTATCTAACTTAGTTATTTTAATATCACTTGTACTAATATAACCTTTTTTTGTAATTTTACATAGTGAGGCACTAAGTGACTAATATATCCCTGACTTTGATTTGTTTCTTTCAATTAACTATTGAATTATAAATGTATTTTAAAAGCTGATAACTTTTGTACTTCTTATCGGTTTTATATATATTATATATCAAATTAATCATCTTTTGATGATCATCGATTTGACATCCATATTATCAAGATGTTATACTAGTAATTATCAAGCAAGATGATATACTAGTAATACACGGGTGTTATATGTTATAACAATTAAATTATCAATTATCAAGAACCCGTGTAATACACGGGTGTTATACTAGTAATTAGATAAATCCTAATCAAATAATTTCTAATCAATTAAGATGATATTTACCAAAGAAGATTAAGGAAAGAAAGAGATTTAAAGGAAGAGGGAAACTTACCTTCTTGGAGCAAGAAGTTTTTGGCCAGAGCAACTTCAAGGAGGAGCCGGAAGTTCATCACTTTCCTCTTCAAATTCATTCTCTCGGCCAAGTGAAAGGAGAGTTCTTTTCTCCTAAAACTCTCCTATCTTCTTCCCCGAGAATCCCATATTTAAGTCCTAATTTATTTACAAGCTGACCCTACTATTGCATCACCAAAAACTCTCTCAAAACCTCTCCAAAAAATCACCAAAGTCCACAACAAAATTTCCTAAGCAACACCCATCTTCTCGGCGAGTTTGTGGCGTGTTTTGAGGCATCACATCAGTGAATCAATTAAGATTCTTTGTGACAATAAATCAATCGTTATGTACCCCAACAACAATATGAGCTCGTCTAAGTCAAAGCATATTGACATTAAGTTCCTAGATGTGAATGAGAGGGTACAAAGTTGTCAAATTTTCATCGAACGCTTAGGGACAAAATCTATGTTAGCAGATCCCCTAACTAAAGGTGTAACAACTATGATATTTCACGAGCATACTGCTCATATGGGTGTATTACATATTCAGGAAGCTTCACTCCAGTTGGAGCATTTGCAACATTTTTGTCATTTTTTATTCGATGATATTAAAGTACTTATTTTGATCAGAAATAATTTTTATTTTTTTTATTTTTTGTTTTTTGTTCATGCCACATATTCCACAGTTTGATCTATGTCATTTAACCATGGGGATATACGTGATTATTGATAGTTTAGCTATGTCTATACAACGAAAACTGCTTTAGCCATATATTGTTGTGATTAATGGAGCAGATTGTTCAGTTCTACAATAATGACCATATTTTAAGCTCATAAGGTAAATAATGACCATATTTTAAGCTCATAGGTATAATATATTATCAGGACACATTAAATCTAATGGGGAACTGTTAGATCTATTTTGGGATTAAATATGTATAAATGGGTCATTATATTGTTTAGCCAAATTAAGTGATCAAATTATTGTATAGATATATTGGTAAGGAACATAATTGAAATTGTAGAATGATTAAATGTGAACACCGTAATATTATTATTTGATGGCGTAACAAATAATAATATAAAACTTAAGTGACCTTATTAGCCAATAAATTGGGTAAAAAATTATTAATGGATGGAGTCCCAAAAAATGTGATAAATAAAAGGGGGACTTTTGTAATTCTTCATTAAGAATAAAACAGTAAGCCCTTATAACTCTCTCTATCAGTTATTTTTCTTCATTACGTCAGAAGAAGGGAGAATACGATTTCACAGTCTTTTGAAAGCTCTCCAAAATTCCAAATCCCAAATTGAGTTCCATGACAATCAATCGAGATGAATTCTTTAGGTCTGCTTCTGCTATTTGGTTTGATTCTCAATTATTCGATATGAGTGTTCATTAAATTAAAGCAATTTTGCATACTGTTAACTCTATTATATTAAAGCTATTCTAACGCAATAAATGATGTAGCTTCGAATTGGGAACGCTCTACTTCTTTTTTATAGGGCCACATAAAATTGACCATCTCGCTTGTCTATAGATTTTATCTTTTGGGTCACATTTGGCTATTAATCTATTTTGCTTTTTTTTTTTATCACATATACCAAAATTATTAGGTTATTCGTAGGTATAAAATATGATAAATAAATATTTTAAATATGAATTTTAAAATTATATATTTAGTTTATTTTTCTTAAATTTATAAATATCTGCATATGCATGCGTTCATATATATTTTAGAATAAATTATAGATCATAATTGCCTTTTTTTATGTATGTTCTTGATGTCAAATCTCACCATTTTTGTATTTCACATTTTTGCTTTCATGAAACTTAACTACTAAAACATAATAATATACACTATTATCTTTTAAAAATATTAAGTTCGAGATTTTTTTGTCCATTGCAATGGAGCTGGAAGAGTCATTGTTGACAATTCTCCTGGCATAGTGCTAATAATGGACTAGATCAAAATGACTCAATTAAATTCTAGTGTTTTCTTCTATTAGTGAAGTTTCTAGAAAAAAATATATCAAACGACGCAATGCATTAACGATTTTTTTAGAAAATCAAATATCTATTCAAATGAATTGAAATTCCATTTTGATCTTGGGTCGCTACGGAAACAACCTCCTTGTATAATTACAAGGGTAAGGTCTGTGTACAACTGACCCCCCAGACCCCAACCAGTTGGGAATATACTGGGTATGTTGATGTTGATGATGTGCATTAAGTTCGAGATTTTCAATTTATATGCTTCAAAATTTAGTTTACATATAATTCACATACAACGGTTCACATAATCACATTCAAGACGTCTCACCCCTTTCAAACTTATGTTTCTTTAGTTCACGATAATAAAAGTATTAGTTTTAAATTTGATTTTTTTTTTTTTTTTTTTT